CTGGAGGGTTGTGACTGGCAGATCAGACTGCAGGCAGAAAGCAGGCCAGAAAGATTTTTTTAAAATTTTTTTATCTGGTTTGTTTGTTTGTTTTGAAAGTGGTTTCCAAGCACTTGACAATGAAATACATTTGGACACCAGAAAACTCAAAAGTAGAACAGAGCTTTGGAGAACTTCTGTGCTTAGAGAACTGAGCTGTTACAACTGACTAAGAAAATACTTCTTTTTTTTTTCCCCTCCTTTAAAGAGAATTGAGCATTTGGTCAGCTACGCTTTAAAAAAAGATACACAGAACCAGTTAAGCCAAGAAATATATAATATTATTGTATGTTATGTATTATTGAAGCATCACGTCACGTAATCAAATGCCATTTAGTCAGGACAAAAGGTACAGAACAACACATAACTACACAGTCAGCTGGAGAGATACCCGTTATCTTCTGTTTTTCCCTTTGAGAGGTTAAGTCCAAAGAGGCTGGTAATGTCTTAGCACGCCACTGTCAAACGGCTGGTGCTGCCCTTGTTCTCTCAGCTTGTCACAGAGCCTTTGACCTTCTTTACAGCTGACGAGGTTTTGAAGGAAAGCTGTCCATAGGTATTTTCCCAGGCGCTCATTATTGACTTGGAGTACTTCCCCTCTCTTACCTCTCTGATCACCGGTAGGTACACTGTACGCATCAAAAAGTCTGCAAAAGTCATCTGAAAGTCCACAGTTCATATTGGGCTGTTTTAAATAAGGGCCACCATCCGTTGGCTTCAGTGATTAAGAATCTGAATCTAATTGTTCCTTTTTTAGCTTATCTGTATAAAAAACAATTCAAATACTTCTTTGTGACCGCAGGTACGAGCGTAGTTCCTCTGCACAACATAAAGCCCTCAGCAGAATTCGGGACATCTCCATGTACTGTAGCTTCCAACGGTAACTCTGGAATCCTGGGTTTAGCATCTGCTCTTAAATATGTGCAGTTACATACTGAAGCCTACCATGGCCTGAATTTGCATGTGAATACTTTTTGGATACACACACGATGTTGTTCCTTACCACAGATTTATGGGAGGCTTTTTTCTTGTGTTAAAATTTCAAAAGTGAAAGGCCTTTTCAGGCATGGCCTTTGAGATGAATTTGCTGTGCAAATATACTCATGCTAAGTCAGGAGGTATGCGGCCCATTTGAGGATGAGATCGGAGCCTGAAGCACTAGATAAACAGCTACGTGGCAGCTTTATACAGTAGTATCCGGGGCTGGATCACACGCTGTAATTGAGTCAACAAGGTCTGAATGTTGAGAGAAAAGCAAATATGGCATGGGCTGTGTAAACACATACTTATGCATAGGTTTGCCTTAAAAAAGTTCCTTCGCTGTGCTTGGTAATGCTCAGGCCTCAGGGGACAGAAATATTTCAAATCTGAGGATACAGCAGATTGGTCCACAGACAGATATTTCTTCCAGGAGTGATCAGAAATCTGGAAACTGAGACTGGGAAATGGTGAAAAAAATTGAGTTTTAAGGGAGGAGCTAGTAAAGACTTTGGTATCTGTCTGCTTCCATGTAAGAGGTTGCTGCAAAGCAGAGGATAAACTGTTCTTCGTCTGCTGGAGATAGGACAAAGTAATGTGCTTAAAATGGAGCAGGAGATTGTTTGTTGCACGTTGGGAGCACTAATGATAGTGCCAGTGACATGACACAAATAGATTGCCCCAGGAAATGAGATTGTTATGGGATGTGCTATTGGTGTTGTTTTTTAAGATGGAGGTCTGTTGAAAATGGTTTAGTTGCAGTTGCTCTTTCTGGCGGAGAGAATGGGCTGACCACCTTCATCTCATTTTCTAAAAATAAAGTTTTGTAATGTAAAGACATTTACATGTAGTAGCCACTGCTCCAGTTGCACTCCAGCCAGCCTTGGTCAAGGTTTTGCCTTCCTCTGACAGTGTTGTGCTCTCTTGTCCTAAATAAATAACTCTGAATCTTATATTGCCCTACCCATCTTAAGAGTACATCTGCCTAGAGGATAACATGCTATTCATATCTCTCCAGGGTAAGGAAAAACTTCCATGCCTTGTTTGAATTAGTCTTGAATTGATGGAAGGCAGCTTTCGTCCAAAGAAAGTGAACTTCCTATTTTTAAATTACTTCAATTATTTTGTAACTGTATAATTAAAACAAGACTATAAATGGCGATCTTTTCTCCTGAGTAATGGCATTTAATTATGTGACATGTCGCTTCAAATTGCCAACTTTTCAGCAAGCTATAAAACGTGTATGAGAAGACAAGAGCCAGGGAGTCTACGCTTCTTACGAAAGATTGTGGTTTGCAAGACACTCATTGTGCTCTGCATGAAAGTACATAGGTTCCCTTCAGTGCCTGACTCTGAAACAGAAATTAAAACTGTGCTCGAGTTAGGAGAATTTGGTATGACTCAAATTTCTTGTAATTCACTGCTATGATGTTACTCTTAAAACTTCTGCAGTAGAGGAACTGTTCAGTAAGCTATGTATTGAAAGAGTGGGAAGAAAATAAGATTTTCTTGAACCACACATATGTGTAACATGTAGATGCTGAACCTGCCTCATAAACCTGGCGTGACCAAACAGGTTCTGCACAATCCCGTACAGATAATGCTTGGAATTTAATTAACTTCACAATGCAGTTTTCTCTCTTTCAAGTGACATCAGTGCTTTCCTCTTTTATTTATTTATTTAATTAATTATTTCCTTGGCTTCTGCTAGCTGGTAGGGGACTGTCAACTGATTTTTGTGTAAAACTTGAAATTTTTGGGGAGGGGCTTTTCTGCAAACCAGAAATGGCCTTTGAAAAAGTACTCACAAGCAGATATAATTTACATGCACATGGCAAATAGAAATCAGTCATTTTATTCAAGTAGTTCCCAGGTCTGTCTTAGTGGTCTTCATGTTTTTGCTGAAGTGAAAGGTTTGTGAGCAGAGTTTAAACCTGAAGGTAATATCCCATATTTTCATTAGTAACATGGACAACTATGATATGAAGCCCTTGAGAGACAAAAAAATGCAGTGTCTAGCACAGAGATTATTATGTCTTATGTGCTGGTGGGTTCTTGATTCATCTTTACCTGAACATGGATTTGTCAAGCTTCATTCTTGATTTGGCCTTTAACACAGTATGGATATTACAGTTTAGGAATATATAAAAAGAACTGAATGTGTCTGGGCTTAGTATAGCTTACATTAGTATGTTTTTATTAAGGTCTTCAGGTGGTTTGAGAATGAAAATAAAATAATTGTTAAGTTTGAAGGGTGTTTATTCCCTCCAGATGTAACACTGGCCTTTAGCATAGCATTTCTCTCAGCTCCTGTGCTGCCTGGGCCTTTCCCTCAGTCTGGTTATTGCAGACCAAGAGAAAGAAGTGGCCCCTTATGAACAGCTCTGGATTATTTGACATAATGCTGATATATTTCTTCTCGCGCAGTGCAGATTGATGAGGGACAGAAGAGCGTTTCGGGTATTCCCATATGTCCCATGAGGGAGAATTCCTTAAAAAAAAAAAAAAAAAAAAAAAAAAAGGAAAAAAAAAAAATATATGGTTGAATTGCAGGGATGAAGGAGCATACTTCTACTGACACAGAGGACTTCAGTGAAGAGAGGTTTCTTTTAAAATTGCAGAGGCTTTTAGACAAAGTCTGTTATTCCAACAGTGATGTACATCTAGCTTTGGAAGAGACTTCTACAACAAGGTCAGGAGCCTTTCCACTTGAGACTTAAAAAAAGTCGCCTGGACACAATATGAGTTTTAGAAAACTGCTCTGTAGGAGAGGCTGGCTCAGCTATGTTCTTATGTGAAAATGTCCCAGCTCCTGCTGCTGGTCACTGAGGGAAGGCCCCGTGCTACCCGGGAGTTATGGTCTCTGGGAGGGTGCTCAAGTCTTCAGAGCTTTCAGGTGGCAGTGAAGCAATGAATCGGGGATTGGGTGGGCTTTAGGATAAGCTTTCCTGCAGTTTTCTTTCGAGAACGAAAACTGATGGTGGCGATGTGTGGGTGGAAGAATGTGTT